TTAGCTCCCTGACCCCCTCCCCTCAGCCCCCTGATCCCCCACACCCTCAGCTCCCTGATCCCCCCCCCTCCCCTCCCCTCAGCCCCTGATCCCCCCCCCTCCCCCCCTCGCCCTTAGCCCCTGACCCCCCCTCCCCTCAGCCCCCTGATCCCCCACCCCCTCATCTCACTGATCCCCCCTCACCTCAGGCCCCTGACCCCCCCTCCCCTCAGCTCCCTGATCCCCCTCCCCTCCCCCTCCCCTCCCCTCCGCCAGCTCCCTGATCCCCCAACCCTCAGCTCCCTGAACCCCCTCCCCTCAGCTCCCTGATCCCCCTCCCCCCTCAGCCCCTGACCCCCCCACCCCTCATCTCACTGACCACCCCCCCACCCCCTCCTCCCTGAATCCCCCTCCCCTCAGCTCCCTGATCCCCCATCCCCTCCCCTCCCCCCCCTCAGCTCCCCTGATTCCCCCATACCCTCAGCTCCCTGACCCCCCTCCCCTCAGCTCCCTGATCCCCCTCCCCCCTCAGCTCCCTCCCCTCCCCTCAGCTCCCTGATCCCCCCACCCTCAGCTCCCTGACCCCCCCCCTCAGCTCCCTGATCCCCCTCCCCTCAGCTCCCTGAATCCCCCCCTCCCTCAGCCCCTGACCCCCTCCCCTCAGCTCCCTGATCCCCTCCCCTCCCAGCTCCCTGATCCCCCTCCCCTCAGCTCCCTGATCCCCCCCCCTCAGCTCCCTGATCCCCCTCCCCTCAGCTCCCTGATCCCCCTCCCCTCAGCTCCCTGATCCCCCCCCCTCAGCTCCCTGATCCCCCTCCCCTCAGCTCCCTGATCCCCCCTCCCCTCAGCTCCTGATCCCCCCCCCTCAGCTCCCTATCCCCCTCCCCTCAGCTCCCTGATCCCCCACCTCCTCCCATCTCCCTGATCCCCCTCCCCTCAGCTCCCTGATCCCCCCCCCCCTCCTCCCATCCCCCCCCCTCAGCTCCCTGATCCCCTCCCCTAGCTCCCTGACCCCCTCCCCTCACTCCCTGATCCCCCCCCCTCAGCTCCCTGATCCCCCTCCCCTCACTCCCTATCCCCCCTCCCTCCCCTCACTCCCTGATCCCCCTCCCCTCAGCTCCCTGATCCCCCTCCCATCAGCTCCCTGATACCCCTCCCCTCAGCTCCCTGAATGCCCCCTCCCCTCCGCTCCCTGATCCCCCTCCCCTCAGCTCCCTGATCCCCATCCCCTCACTCCCTGACCCCCTCCCCTCAGCTCCCTGATCCCCCTCCCCTCAGCTCCCTGATCCCCCTCCCCTCAGCTCCCTGATCCCCTCCCCTCCCTTCCCTCCCTGATCCCCTCCCCTCAGCTCCCTGATCCCCCTCCCCTCAGCTCCCTGATCCCCCTCCCCTCAGCTCCCTGATATCCCCCCCCTCAGCTCCCTGATCCCCCTCCCCTCAGCTCCCTGACCCCTCCCCTCAGCTCCCTGACCTCCCCCTCCCCTCAGCTCCCTGATCCCCCCCCCTCAGCTCCCTGATCCCCCTCCCCTCAGCTCCCTGATCCCCCCCCCCCCTCAGCTCCCTGATCCCCCCTCCCCTCAGCTCCCTGATCCCCCTCCCCTCAGCTCCCTGATACCCCTCCCCTCAGCTCCCTGATCCCCTCTCCCCTCAGCTCCCTGATCCCCCACCCTCAGCCCCCTGATCCCCCTCCCCTCACTCCCTGATCCCCCTCCCCTCAGCTCCCTGATCCCCCCACCCCTCAGCTCCCTGATCCCCCTCCCCTCAGCTCCCTGATCCACCACCTCCTCCCCCTCCCTCCCTGATCCCCCTCCCCTCAGCTCCCTGATCCCCCCTTTCCCCCCCAGCTCCCTGATCCCCTCCCCTCAGCTCCCTGATCCCCCTCCCCTCAGCTCCCTGCTCCCCCTCCCCTCAGCTCCCTGATCCCCCCCTCCCCTCAGCTCCCTGATCCCCCTCCCCTCAGCTCCCTGATCCCCCTCCCCTCAGCTCCCTGATCCCCCTCCCCTCAGCTCCCTGATCCCCTTCCCCCCCAGCTCCCTGACCCCCTCCCCTCAGCTCCCTGATCCCCCTCCCCTCAGCTCCCTGATCCCCCCCCCACCCCCTCCCCTCAGCTCCCTGATCCCCCTCCCCTCAGCTCCCTGATCCCCTCCCCTCAGCTCCCTGATCCCCCTCCCCTCAGCTCCCTGATCCCCCCCCTCCCTCAGCTCCCTGATCCCCTCCCCTCAGCTCCCTGTTCCCCCCCTCCCCTCGCTCCCTGATCCCCCCCCCCCACCCCTCCTAGCTCCCTGATTCCCCCCTCCCCTCAGCTCCCTGATCCCCTCCCCTCAGCCCCCCTGATCCCCCTCCCCTCAGCTCCCTGATCCACCCCCCCTCCTTCAGCTCCCTGATCCCCTTCCCCTCACTCCCTATCCCCCTCCCCTCAGCTCCCCTGATCCCCCTCCCCTCAGCTCCCTGATCCACCCCCCCCCTCAGCTCCCTGATCCCCCTCCCCTCAGCTCCCTGATCCTCCCCCCTCAGCTCCCTGATCCCCCTCCCCTCAGCCCTGATCCCCCCCCTTCCCCTCAGCTCCCTGAGCCCCCCCCCTCAGCTCCCTGAACCCCCACCCCTCAGCTCCTGATCCCCCCCCTCACTCCCTATCCCCCTCCCTCAGCTCCCTGATCCCCACCCTCCCCTCAGCTCCCTGATCCCCTCTCCACCTCCCGCTCCCTGATCCCCCTCCCCTCGCTCCCTGATCCCCCCCTCCCCTCAGCTCCCTGATCCCCCTCCCCTCAGCTCCCTTGATCCCCCCCCCTCAGCTCCCTGATCTCTCCTACCCTCAGCTCCCTGATCCCCCTCCCTCCTCTCGTCCCTGATCCCCCTCCCCTCCTCCCTCCCCTCAGTCTCCCTGAATCCCACCCTCCCCCAGATCCCTGATCCCTCCCCTCAGCTCCCTGATCCCCCCCCCTCAGCTCCCTGATCCCCCTCCCCCCCCCTCAGCTCCCTGATCCCCCTCCCCCCTTCCCTCAGCTCCCTGATCCCCCCCCTCCCCCTCGCCCTGACCCTTCCCCTCCCTCCCCTCAGCTCCCTGATCCCCCTCCCCTCACCCTCCCTGAACCCCCTCCCCTCAGCTCCCTCATCCCCACTTCTCCTGATTATCTCCTGGTATTTCTCCTGTGTGTTTGCCTTCCTCATGCCTCCTTTAAAGGGACTCGCGTACTTCCAGCTCCACTAACTTGTCAAAACCAATTTGCCTGCTTATTATCCCCTACAACTGATTTTCCCCATGACTCCTCCGTGCCACACCCCCACACACCACCACCACACCACCCACCACCACCACCACCACTACCACACCCACCTCTTCACCTCTCTCCCTC